TTTAAATATTCTAAGTTGTTAAAAAATAGATCAGTAGCATATTTATAGTACCAACATAGGCAAATTTGCCTGCGTTAGCCTACAATCTAAGGGATAAGCAAAAATTAAATAACTTAACTAAATTAGAAATAAAGACTTTTTCATTCAACCAGTTTAAAAACTCATTTATTTCTAATTCTGAAATTTATTAGATTATATAGAGATAAGTTAATAGAAATCAAGCAAATTATTTTTATCAAATTTTTTTGAAACTTTAAATACTAATAACTTAACAAAAACTTGATTAAATTTAATAAAATTTTTTTTAAATCAATTTTATAAGTTTGTAAAATTATTTAAAAAATTTTTTATTAAATTTGATCAAGTTTTTGTTGAGTTATTGTTGTTTAAAGTTTTAAAAAAATTTACTTAGAAAAAATTTGCTTAATTTCTATTGATTTAACTTTATATGACCAAATCAAACCTTACCTGATTTGATTTCAAATAAGGAGTTTCTTCTATAATCAGATTAACTATTACCTAATAAAAAAATAAATCCAATTATCTTTATATCTAAAAAATATATTTTAACGAAACTAAAAGTAAATTATTCTAAATATATTCTTTCTATATGCAGTATATCTATAGATGCACTAGCGCTAGTAGCTTTTATGTAACAATACAATTTTACTACTATTATATAACTTTTATTGAATTTTTAGCTTAAAACTCAAACATCCTTTTATTTTACCATTACTTCAAATCGATAACATACAATAATTTATCATTACATACTTCTCCAATAAAATCTAACTACTACAATTCAATTAACTCACATGCTTATTAACTCACTGCAACTGTATTCTGTACAATGCGAATCTTGTTTGTTCCCAAAATTTTTCAAAATCCATGTGAAACCGTTTTTATGTCATCTATATCCACAATCCATCAATGCTTTTCACACATCACCATAAGTCTGTTGTCACTTTGGATCATGATAAGCGTGATTTGTGGCCTCTTCATTTTGAGGAAAAAATGTGTAATAATAAGTAGCCTGTTCCTCACAAGATAACATCTGATTGTAAAATCACATATATTCGTAAAACTAATGAATGGAAATTTTCATGGGTTTATGAGATGCAAAAACAGCTTTGCGAAACCCAAGCGGATGGTTCTGTTCATGCAGTCTCCATTGATCCTGACATTCGTACACCCTTCACATGGTATTCTCTTACAGTAAAATTGGCCAATACGATATTGGACGAGTTATTTGTTATGCAAATATATAGATAATATTCATTCTATAAGGGACAAGCTGGCTACCTCTAATTCAAAACGTAAAAATAAAAAGGCCTTGCGGCTTGATAATGCAATTTCTCGGATGATACAAAAAATCAAACATCTGCAAAGTGAAATTCATAAAAAGAATGTTGGTTTTTTTACTCGCGAATTTGATGCCATTATCATTCCTCTTTTTGAGGTATCAAATATGGTAAATCGAAAAACAAGAAATATAACGCGAAAAACTGTCGTAAAATGATCTGTTGTGCTCACAATTTCGCCAACGTCTGGTAGCTAAAACTGAAGAATTAGGGGTCCATGCTATTATCCAAAATGATCTGAGATGTGCAAGTGCCGAAGTTGTGGGGCTGTAATGGATCGAGATGAAAATGGTGCTCGGGAATTTTCTCCGGGCTTCGCTTGATGGAGCCTTGATTCTTTCCGAAGATCATGCAGTAATACTTAGTATTACCTATTATATATTGATGTATTACAATCCGTTTACTACTCTATATGTTGTACGTCGTACATCTATAAAAGTATTTTAAAAGATCTACATTATTTGTCACGCAGGATATGTACAGTAGTAAACGGTATTATTATTACGGTAAGTAGTAACCGTTTCTATAAAGATTGATCATAAAGGGGTACAGTCAACCCTCTTTATATAACAAAAGTTCCTTATATATTGAACTCCAATAAAAGTGTATTTCTAGAAAGATCACGCCATTTAAAATACCCGAGCACAGTACAAAAAAAAATTATCCTAAAATTACCTTTCAAATAAAAGGAAAAAAAAAAAAAAAAAACCGCAAAAACATCGAATATTCTACATGGGAGTACATACATACGTACATACGTATGTTAAAGAGTTTTATCGTTATCGTTATAACATTGGGTCCAATTATATTTTTATTTGTAAAAAGCCCTATCAAAGACTCTAACTAATTGGATTCTGAACCTTATCGACTGCAACACATGATAATCTATAGTGTAATCTATAGTGCTCATTTGGGTTGTTCAAAAGTACACCCGACTTTATTAGAAATCAGTTAGCCAATCATTTTGATCATCATTAAATTTATAAATTGCTTCTGTATGAAGTACATACGTCCCTAAGTACAAAAAAAAAAAAAAATTTTGGATTCTTTTAAAAAAAAGCTTCCCACACTTTCAAAAATAACCACAACAAGCATCTGCTTTTGACATAAAATAATCACAACTATTAGTGATAATTAAATCAAATCTTTTTTACTTTTCCTAATCAATTTTTTTTAACTTACAAAAATTAACGTGTTTTCAATAACAATTAATCACTCATGGCGGGTAATATGATACAATTGAAAGATATGAGTAGTAGTAGTCGTTTTACGACTACAACCGTTTCACCCCGAGGACAACTCTTGATTGTCTGTTTGACAGAAAAAACTTCTTCTACTGCAGGCAAGAAAGAGTGCTATTATTATTCTACCTGTAAGTGGAATTTAACTGACTGTTTCAGTTGTAGCTATAATTTTATGTCCTAACTTTGACTTTATGTGCTAAAACAGTGGGTAAGAAGGCTGGGTGGCGTTCCTGTGAGTGTTTATTTAAATGATAAAACTTCTAAAAATTTTATTTTCTAATTCCCAGTTTTGAAATTAATTATACATTGATTTTAATGTAGGACATGACTCCCGAATTTTTCTTGAACTTGGAAGAGCAAGGCTTCCTAACCCGTGACAGTGGCAGTATCACTGCGTTAGGAAGTCTTTGGTGGAAGGGTGCTATTGATGATGATAGTAAGAATATATATAAAAATCCCGTCAAAAAAAAACAGGCAACCTTTGTAGAACAAGTTTTTCGCGGTGGTGGTGCCCCTGCCAGCATTGACCTTTATTTGACAATCACATCTGTGCAACAGGTGCAGCAACACGATTATAAATGGGAGGGTTTTGTCATGAACAGCATGAACAGTGTACTATTTTTAAAGGATAATGGTTTAAATGTGGTGGAGTTAAAAGAGAGGTATGCTAATTTCTAGGTTTTGTTTATTACTTCTTTTTGTTGTGATTATGAAATTTTGTTTCGGATATGTGGACCATTTATTTCCTTCCAAGATCGCTTCATGTAATCATTTTTTTATCATGCATTGGGAATAACAGTAATTGCTTGTGAAAGCAAGCAACGTCTGTACAATTTCCTGCGTGCTTGTGATAATGAAGCGATCAAGGTGATTCTATGAAATTATGATTCACATTCTTTCTAACTTTATTTGATTTTCGAATGTATTCCTCGCGCTTGCACATTATTGTTTTGCGCCTGTGTTGTCATTTTTTGTTTTCTTGTTTTACACATTTAGCATTGTTGCCGTCCTTGAACTGGCGGAAGAATGCTTAAAGTGCAATTCTGTAGTTGTCTGTCTCGACAAAAAAAGTCCTCATTTATGTAAGATTTCTATTCTATATATTAGTTCTCTTTTAATTACCTCAAATTTTTTAATCATATATATGTTTATATATATTGTTTTTGTTTTTATCGATAGCTACACTCATTCGTGGCTTCTTGTACGTTGGATTTGAACTGGTGATGCCCGGCACGTTCAATCATAATTCCAACGACTTCCTTTTAGTTGGAATGGAATTGTAAGATGGAATTATAGGAACCACTCTTCTTCGTTCATTGACTAATTATACTTGTACATTACCCCTTACTTCATTTCATTAGTATCATTTCTTATTAAACCTTTGTTTCATATTTTATATCTTAACATATGTTGGCATTAATCATTTGGACATTTGTATATATATATTATGAGTTATAATTTTATATGTGATGACTATGTAAAAATAAGTTATCTCAAAGATAAAATTATACAGTTTTGGATCAATCGTTAAAAAAAATTATCCACTTGCGAAATGCATTCATCTATTGTTTATTACAATCGGATGTTAATCATGGTATTTTATATAAATGCTATCACTATGCAAAACTGTCAGATCAGATACTGACATACACTTTTATTACCTGATCAAATTCGGTAATCAAAACTAATCATTTTTTAAATATTTCTTAGAAATTTAATAGTAAAACTTTTGAATATCAAAGAAATTACAGTTAGGAATTATATCCATATAGAATTTGATCTGCAATATATTAAAAGGTTATTCTAAACCGATTTTTATTTTTTTTTAAAAAAAAAAACTCATTTTTATTAATTTACATGGTGTATATACACGGGTATTAATCCGTAGTTTGCAAATTGTGTAACATGCAAATTTACGAATGAAAAATTAAATCCTTGCTTATGGTTGGAGTTTGGGGTGGGGGCGAGGTATAGTTTATACCAAAATTTCGCAAGGAATTTTTTTTATTAGAAGCCAAAATTTAATAATCAAAATTTTGAGATATCGGTTGGTTTCTATATTGCCCGTGTATATACACCCGTGTACAAATAGAAATTGCCTTATAAAAAACAATTAGTTTTAAAAAAAAATCCTTTAAAACATTTTCAATTGCAGATCTTTTACAAAAAGAAATAATTTGTATTACACACAAATGGGATTTCCTACAGCATTATCTTACCCAGGTGCGCCAACAAAATGTCACAGTCACGTGACAACCGACAAAATTTTTTGCTTGTTAGGGCTTGGGTCATCGCCTATATTAAGGTTAGAATTTGAGTGTTTTAATAGTAAAATTTCTCAAGGAAAACTTTTGGTTAATGTATAAAAGGTGGTTTATTATGCATATTTTTGAGAAACAAGCAATTTTTTCAAAGTGAACATTTGGTTTGAAATTTTCTGATCATGTTACATTAAATGAATACATGATTTGCCATTAGTGATAGCTTACCCACAAAATTTTTTTCCAATAACTCGAAATTTTGTTTATAAAACTGCTTTCTATGTTTTAACAAAAAAAATTCCTTGCGAAATTTTGGTATAGCCTATGTACATTTCTTGACTTTAATTCTAACCTTAAGATAATATTTATTGTATTAAATCTTTTGCTTATTCGATTGTTTTGCTTTCGTTGTTATGATTTTACATTACACCTGATCTTTCGATCTAATTGGTTAAAAATCATGTGTCAGAAAAATTTTGTGGGTAAGCTACTAGATATTTAAAGATGCAAACAGCTCAAGCCAAGCCATAAGCCAAACGGTTAAGCTAAGCTAATTAATGGCTTGGCTTCAGGTTTATTAATAAAGCATCAGCTTTAAAAACGGTTTAGTTCTAGATCTTGAAACCAAGTATAGAGTCATGAATCAATAGATTTATATCACATGACCATTATCCAATAGTAATATAATTACTGTGATTTTTAGTAATATATAAGTTAGTGATATTATCTAACCTATTTGAGATATTTTAAATCGTTTGAATAATATTGTTAATATAAGTTTTATTGATTTTTAACTTATATTTTGCTAAAAAAAAATTTGCTTTTCTAAGCTATATATCAAATATTAGCAAATAAGTAATCTGGTCAAGTTTGATATTAATTAAAAGTTATGTTATTAAAATTTAATATCAATTATTTTAATACTTAAATTATATTATAATTAATATTGGTTAAAAATAGATTTTTTTATATTTAAGTTTAAATATTTATTTTTTATATAGTACAAAATATTTAAAGGTCACAAATTTTAAATACTAATAATGTTTAATAGAAAAACAATATCATAAAAAATAAACTGCTATTTTGTAGTTTAATCAATTTATTACAACTTAGCAGTTTTATTTTTTAAAAAATTATTGTATAGTTTTTAATTAATAAGTTTAAAAATATAATATTTTCATATAATATATACAAATTTGATCAAAAATAGAACAAGTCATATATTTTAACTTATTTCTATTGGTCAATTTTAAATTTACTTTAAAATTAAAATTTAAAATATTTTTTAACAATTAATTTTTAGTCAATTAAAATACAAAAAATTAAAAAGATATTAAATTTCAATATAAAAATTTTAAAAATAAAAAATATTATGTGATTTTAGTCTTTAGATATCCTGTACTATATATTAAATAATTTTTATTAGTATATTTTTTGTTTTATTTAGATAGATCACACAAGTACTTTTATTTAATCAAGTCAAATTTTCGTAAAGAGAATAGAATATTAAAACTATAGGTTTGATATCTTGCAGTTACTTTGTATAACCTAATTGATTATTTATATATATCTACAGGTGATCATGCCATACTAGAAAGATATGATCAATTAAGATAATACTCTATCAGAAGCTTATCTAACTACTGCTCTATAATAGGATATTATCAATTTGATGATATTTTCTTATAGAGAAATAAAAAAAAATATTTTATAAATAAATACAGAGGTATATAAGAATATGTAAAAAAACAAATAAGAGAAAAAAAAGAATAAGAGAGGAATGAGAAAACTAAATTAAATATGAGATTTTTTAGCCACACCAGACAGTCACAATTATAAATTTGTATTAGGCTTGTGAAAATTATATACTACTATCTAAACTATTTTTTACACTAATTTATATATATAGTATATTTAAACTTAAAATCTAAAAAAAAACAAAAAAAAGAAAACTTCTTCAATATAGATACCATAGAGAGGTTAGAAAATCATACTGTTGGGCTTGTAATATTGTTTTTTGAATCATTATATTTGAGATATATAATCCACATGTTCATATTTCATATATATTTATATGTTTGTTGTAACAGATAAAAAAGTAAATAATACCATCTGATTTGGAAAATAAACAATATATTAATCTTTGGAGAAGTAAATTAAATTGTTCACTTTTTACAAAATTTTTCTCAAAAGAAAAATAGAAGGTTAACAAAAGTGTGTAAGGTTCTTCTGTAAGTTTTATAGTTGTATAGTTAGTTTTACAAGTTTATACTATTTTAGTAAGGGCTATTCTACTACTTGCTTTTAGAATAAACCTTCTAGTTTATATACTGAATATTTTGGAGAGTCCACTAAAGAAGAAAGCTTGACTCCAAGAAAAATCACTTAAATTACACCTACTTTTTAGTATTTCACATCTTTTAAGTTTTGTCAATAGCAATCTGTTCAGAAATAAGTTCAGTTTCTAGAATAAATCTTCTGGTTTGGATACCAAATATCTCAAGAGTCTACTGAAAACAAAAGCTTGATCCCAAGAAAAACTACCCAAATTACACTACTCCTCGATGTTTCATATTTTTAGGCTTCGTTAACAAATATTTATTCAAAAACAGAGCTAAAAATAGTTTATATCTTGAGACCTCCTATATCATTTTTCTGTAGTTCAGTTTTTTGTTATATTGTCTAGAGAATCATTAGAAAGAGTTAGATGTTTATTTTTATTAATATATTAGAAATATATTTATGTTTAATTAAATAGTTTTCTTATATAAAATAAGAAATATGACAAAAATCAGATGATTTTTTAGAGGGGTAAAAAATTTAAAATTATATATAAAGATATGATTAAGATATATATGGTGCTCCACGTCACTTCACATCAAATGCGCCAAATTTGAGTCTATATAAATGCTTTTTAGCCAATCAGAATGCATTATATACTAAT